AGACACAGAATAAAATTAAGCCGGCAAACAAAAAGGTGTCCTACACAATCTAGAAGATACCAAATAACCTTTTTCTTTGGCTTTTAAATGACTGCTGTCAGGGTTGACACCTATTAAACACAGCACATAACACAGGAAAGACAAGAGAAAGTTAGATTCTTAATACTCGCGAGGAGAACAGACAGAGATGTGCTTTGTTACAAATCTCCTACTGCTCTCAAGCACATTTGCCTGCCCCTCTCTTTTTATTGTCTTTAGGATCCCTAATCACAGACAGAGCGCTGTAACTCTAAGGGGAGGGGAAAAGACACTTCATCACACAGTCACAGCGCCAGATTATCACTAACTAACAACACAATCAATCTCACACTAGCTTATCTAGTTCCTGACCCAGGATCAAGCAGGACAAGTTGTACATCTTCACGGCGATGGTTTTATAGCTATCTAAGAGGTCAAAGCAGGCCGTTCTGAGAAGAGCTGCTGTCACTGCTCTTCTTCAGAGAGGCCTCCTCTGAGGAAGGAAGCAGAGTGATTAACAATACAGAAACATTCCTTAAAACCTATGACTAAACTAAATAAGTAAGAATACATAAACTAAGAACATAATAAAGATATACCAAATAGTTGATAATAATACAATTTACCTAACATTAAGCAAAAAAAAATATATAGCAATGACTCCCCTGGCTAGTCCAGGGAAGTGAAGAAAATGACTGTACATCACTTTTAGTATCCACCAGCCTCTTACAAAGATTGGAGCTAAAGGGAGGATCTCACCAGTTTCACTTCACAACTCTGGTATTTGCACCTGCAGACTTCGACCTTGGGTGGTTCAAACCCAGTTCAGAAATGCCCTTTATTATGCGTTTCCAGCAAACTGCCTCCCTGTGGTAGCTATAAAGAGTGCTTTATAGCCAAAATTGATTGCTTGATTGATTTTAAATAAAACAGAGTTTGACAGAACATTCTTTTGGATGAATATTCTGGTTTTTAATCGCATACTAATTCCTCCTTTTTGCCTTGGAGTGGAAATAAATACAACCAGCTTTATGGGGAAAGTTCTATAAGATCAAATATGCAGAGGTGTTGCCTGTGTGTTTTTGTTTTGACGGGTATTTTGTCTGTCCAGTGCGTTGAGTTGATGGGAGACGGCTGTTTGAACAACGAGCATTTTGAGGAGCTGGGCGGTATCCTTAAAGGGAAGCTGGAAGAGCACTTTAAAAACCAGGAGCTCAGGCAAGGTGAGGCTGAACCAACCACATATAGTCTCCTGTTAAAGTGTAGCGTGTGCTCCGAACACCGTATCCACATGTGATGTGAAAATGTTTTTGCTTCACAGCCAAAAGACAAGATGAAGACTACGACGAGCAGGTGGAGGAAACCCTACAGGATGAGGTTAATATAACATTTATAATTTTTTTTGTGTGTGAGAGAAAGTGTAAAAGATTTTCTTCTGGACTCTTAAGTGTTTTTTCACTTGATTTTCAGGATGAGAACGACGTGTACGTCCTGACCAAAGTGTCGGACATCCTGCACTCTGTGTTCAGCAGTTATAAGGAGAAGGTTCTGCCTTGGTTCGAGCAGCTGCTGCAGCTCATCGTCCAGCTAATAGTGAGTCCTTTGTTGTTTCTGTTGAGTGTTAAATGATCCAAACCTCAGCTGATTGGCTCTACTGACACGTTTCGCATCACTTCAGTGTCCCAACAGGCCATGGGCCGACAGGCAGTGGGGTCTGTGCATCTTTGACGACGTCATCGAGCACTGTAGCCCCTCCTCTTTCAAGTACGCCGAGTATTTCCTCCGGCCGATGCTTCAGTCGCTTTGCGACACGAGTCCCGAGGTTCGGCAGGCCGCTGCTTATGGTGTCGGGGTGATGGCTCAGTATGGCGGCGACAGCTATCGTCCTTTCTGCACAGGTAGGGAGATGCCAGCTAATCTCGACTTGTCGCTACCTCTACAGCTTTTAGTTTAACGTTTGGCTTGTTGTTGCAGAGGCGCTCCCCCTGCTGGTCGCCGTCATCCAGGCAGCTGATTCTCGGTCAAAGGAGAACGTAAACGCCACAGAGAACTGTATCTCGGCGGTCGGGAAGCTCATGAGGTTCCGGCCGGAGTGCATTAACGTCAATGAGGTTCTTCCTCATTGGCTCAGCTGGCTGCCGCTCAAAGAAGACAAGGAAGAGGCAGTTCACACGTTTGACTTCCTGTGTGACCTCATTGAAAGGTAGGCCTGTTATCCATCATCCTTCCACGTCTGTGTCCGTTATCCACAAGGTTACCTTTTAAAACGGCTTAGAAGAGACGGTTTTTAAAATTTGGGTTTGGAAACATTTGGAGTATGACTCTGGAACACTTTGAGGTCATCAGGTCAACCT